AATAAAATTTAAAAATATATAATTTTAAGAGCTTAAATGTCATTCTTACTGTTTTATAATCAAAATAACCCCTGAAACTCATTACCATTGAGTCAAACAGACTCATAGATGATGCTGACTTGGGTTTTCAGAGTCCATGAAATCACACAGGAGATTGCTTATTTTTCTCCTTTGGAGCAGCTAGTGGATTTGAAACACCTCCCTTTGAGCTGGCAGTGCAACTCACTCCTAGTATGGTCAGCAGAGCTCCTTATTTTTAATAGTATTAATATATTACTTGCATCTCTTTTTTGGAGTACTTCAAAAAGTTTTACAAGAAATAGCCAATAAAGACAATTTACTGGCTTAGAAAATTATTTAGAATGCAGCAGTAAGTGGGATAATTTTTGGTCTAAAAATTGTGTAAAATTTTGTCTAGAATTCAAGTATTTTCATATTTTCAGTGTAAAAATGAAAGTTAAATACAATACAGTATATACTGAGTTTGTGTTGCAGTTATTTTAGGAAAAGAATATGGAAATTTGTTGATTTGATGGGTTTTGTGGTTTTTTTTCAGGTCTGTTGATTGCATACTGTAGAAGATTTGATGTTCAGATTGGTTCTTCTGTATATTATATTTCCACCACAATTGGTAAATTTCTGGGTTTTAATATTGTATTGTGTCAAAATGTATTGTCTGGAGGAAAAACATAGAGAAATCCTAGATTCTAATATTTTAACAGTAAATTATAACACAAGTTGGTTTTGGGGTTTGTTGGCTTGTTTTGGTTTATTTTTAAAATAAAAAGTTTTGAAGATGACCTAAGACTAGGCAGGATTTTGATCTGTTGTATGTACATAGGGTCACTATGAGTTAGAGCTGCGCTGACAACATGTAACACCACCACCATGTTTATCACAGGAATTTGGCAGTTTTAAATGGGAATTAAGAGTCTATCCTATAAAGTATTTATTAGAGCACCTGGCACAGTAATAGTCAACAAATTGTATAAAACTATACTTTTGGACAACTAAGTATTCATGTAAATGAATTTATGGTATAACAAAAGCTCACCTGAAACATTGGAGGTAGTTGCCATTTGACACTTAATTCTGTATAAGAACAGAATTAAGAGCAGGAGTTAAGTTAAAAAGTACTGTCACTACTTCTGACTATAGCAGGTTGATATCTGAATATACAGTGGACCACTAGGAGAACAAACAGGTTTATCCCAGAGAGGGTGAAACCCAACTTCTCCTTGGAGGCAAGGATTCTGACATATCTCGGGCATGTTGCAAAGAGGAACAGTCCTTAGAGAGGGACGTTATGCTTGGGAGGGTGGAGGGAAAGCACAAGAGAGGAAGACACTCAATGAGATGGATGGACTCAGGGTAATGGGGGTAGGTATCTCAGAGATAACAAGGTTGGCTCAGGATAGAGCAGGGTTCAATGCTATTGTACATAGGGTTGCTATGAGTTGCATGTGACTTGACTGCACATAACAATAACAACATCACAAAGTCATTTAGGAAAGCTTTTTATAAAACTTTTATTTAAAAAAGCTAAATAGTCTATATCAGCTAGCAAAATTTTCAAATCTACGGTGAAATTAAATGCAGTAAAGTTAATATAAACAATAGAGAAGGATGTTGCTGTGAAACAAACCCTGACAGCAAGAAAGAATAGCTAAGTTAGGGAGCAGATTATATAAATAAATATAATATAAATAATAAATTAAAAAAGAACTCTTGAGGACCTCATGCACTTGCTGCAGAGGGTCAAGGACTGCAGCCTTCAATAAGGATTGAGGCTCAATGTCAAGACGACAAAGATTCTCACCACTGGGCCAATTGGTAGCATCAGGGTGGATGGCGAAGAGATTGAGATTGTTCACAGCTTTAGTTTGCTCAGCTCCACAATCAACACTCTTGGCACCAGCAGCCAGGAAATAAAAAAAACATATTGCAATGGGAAAGTCTGCTGTTGGGGACCTCTCTAAAGTACTCAAGTGCAACGGTGTCTCTCTGGAGACTAAGGTTCGCCTGATAACAGGCCATAGTCTTTGCAATCACTTGTTATACATCAGAGAGTTGGACAGTGACTAGAGAGGATAGAAGAATTGATGCCTTTGAGCTATGGTGCTGGAGAAGAGTATTGAATGTACCCTGGACTGCCAAGAAAACAAACAAATTCATCCTAGAGAGGATTAAACCAGGCTGCTCCTTGAAGGCAAGGATTCTGGGGCTTCGTCTGACATACTTGGGACATGTTGTAAGGAGAGACGTCTTTGGAGAGGGACATCATGCTGGGTAGAGTAGAGGGACAGCGCAGGAGGGGAAGACCCTCTATGAGGTGGATTGATTCAGTGACTGGGGTAATCGGGATGGGTGTGTCAGAGGCCATGCGAATGGCACAGGATAGAGCAGGGTTTAGGGCTGTTGTACATAGGGTCGCTATGAGCCGCAAACAACTCGACGGCACATAACAACAACAACAACACTCTAAAGGTAGCATGTTAAAGATGAGAACACTCACTAAAAAGGAGTGTCCATCACTTCTCCTGTGTAACTTTTAAAAATTTACTTAGCTCTAGGCTAGATTGCCTCCTTAATAAAATAGAGGACAAGATTAAATTATCTGCAAAGCCCTTCCACCAAAACTCTGAGGTCCTCTATTCATGAGAAACTGTGTACATAACAAAAGATTAAATGGTGTTTGATATGGTTTTAGTTTTAAAATTCAAGGAAATGTGTAGTCAACATTAAGAAAATGTCTCAAAACAACTTACTGTGTGTATAGGTGCAAATTTTAGTTATCTAAAATGTGGCAGATAATTGAGACATTCTTGAATTATTATCAATGATGAATGATAAAATTAATAGTATTTTTTTAATTAATAGTATTAAAGTGCCAATTTGTAAGTTTTTCAAAATCTTTGTGAAATATCTTACCTAATTACTGCTTAGAGAGATAATAAAATAATGAAGAGAAGTCATAGGACAAACAAAAATCTTTGGAAATATTTCGATAGCAGGGAAAATCCACTATCCGTCCCATGTAGAAATGACTGATGCTTCATGTTCTTCTTACAGCCTATGCTGTTGGCATGATACTTACATTTGTTGTTTTGGTGCTGATGAAAAAGGGACAGCCTGCTCTCCTCTATTTAGTACCTTGCACTCTTATTACTGCCTCAATCATTGCATGGAGACGTAAGGAAATGAAAAAGTTCTGGAAAGGTAACAGCTATCAGGTATGTGGCTATACTTGGGTTACCAAGGTATTTTTATATAATTAACTGACAAACTTTATATACACACATATATGTATTCATGTGCACGTATATTTATGTGTATGTGTGAATGTTGAACTCTGGTATCATAGTCTGTAGGGAGTTGCACTGCCAACCCAAAAGCCTACCTTTGCTAGGTTTGAATCCACCAGCCGCTCCACACAAGAAAGGTAGATAGTCTCCCCCAATGTGATGTATAGCATCAGAAACTCTGGGTAGTCAGCTGTGAGCTAGTTCTGGTTCAGTGGCAATTGGGGTTTTCTTCAGATATGTGTATACTGTACCAGGATATCATAAGCTTTTCTCACTGCCGTTCTTCCCCTTGTCATCAATTCTCATTCTACTGATGCCAAAGGCTTTTCTTAAAAATAATAATAATAATAATAATAATAATACAAAAAAAAATAAATTTTAAAAAAAAAAAAGCTTTTCTTAGGACAACTACCAGAAAGTGAGGCAGCATCAGGGAAAATAGCATTTCAACTTGAGTTTGCAAAATCCACACAAAAATTGGATTTCATGAAAGGTAAAACTCTATGCGTAAAATAAGTACTGAGTTTTGACATTTTTGTTTATAATGAGTCCTATAATTATTCAGAAAAATAGTGTACTCTCTCCAGCATCTAAATGGGCCTACTTAGTAATATACTAATTTCACTTTTAAATTGGGCCAAATTAACTTTTACTTAAAATTCATGCAACAGCCTTGAAATCATAATCTATTAGGTTTAAGTCTGTCTTCATTAAGTCTGTCTTCATTGAAGCTCAGTCTGTTTCTTTTTCTCAATGTTTGTTTGCACTAAAATTAGGGAGGATTAGGAAACCCTAGGCTGTTGATGTCAAGTCCCTGGCATTTACCTCTTTGTGAGGCAGACAGTTCTGTTTTGTCCTATTCATAACAATTTACCTCGCGTGTGTATCAGTCAGTGGTCAATGAACCAAAAATAGATACTTTGTATGTATGACTACAATTCTCTTATTAAATAAACTGTTCAAAGTTCATGTCTGTCTAGTGGTTTATTTGTAGTGTCGTTGTTTACAAAAGATTATTGGCACATTGTTAAGATAGACAACAATATTTGGGAAACAGTGATCTAGAATTCTTTTTTTTTTCTTCTAAAATTCTTATAGAAAATTTTTTTAAATGTTTGTATAATAAAACTTGGTTTGCTGCCCTTACAATTGCTATTGTCTCACCTTGTATTAACATATGGATTTTATTTATAACCACAAAATCCATGACTAGAGGTGTGACATCTAGTGGATATAGTTTCAGGACAGTGTCATGATGATTTAGGGAAGGCTTCTTTAAAAGTATTTTATTTATATTGAAATTTTAGGGAGCTCTGGTGGCCTAGTGGCAAGAAGCTGCACTGCAATCCCAGAGGTGCAAGGTTCGAATACACCAGATGCTCTGCTGGAGAAGGAGGGGCAATCTTCTCCTGTGCCAGTCAGATCCGATTTGACGGTACACACACGAAAAATAGTAAAATAAAATAAATGAAAAAAATATATTGACATTTTAAGACTACGCAATGTGTTCCATGTTGAAGTAACTGCGTATACAAAATCATAGAAGGAAAAGATCATGGTTCCTGTGTTCTCAGAATCAAAGTTTAGCATGATTGTAATGCTAAAGTAAGGGAGCTATAGAAGTCTACAGAGTCTTGTGAGCCATGTTAAAGAATTTGGGCTTTTAAGAGCATTGGTGATCATTTAAGAATATTCATAAAATCTAGAAACTAAATTTAAGGAGATGTGTTACACTGAGTAATGATTGTAGCCTGAGTTGGTAATGAGATGACAGAAAGTGGAAAGTCAAAGTATGATTTAAAATCCTGTTGGTGGACTCAGTGGGAGAGGGGAAGAAGCAGAGTCAGAGGATTTTTATTTAATAATTACGGAGTTGAGGAGATACTGTTTCCTTAGATAAAGAGATGATTGGCTTAGGGAAGAAGATGGGAATTCCTTGTTGGACATGACTTTTATATTGCACATATCAAAGTACTGCTAGGAAGAGAAAGAAATAAAAAGCAGTTAAATAAGTTGGTCTTACACAAAAAAACCAAACCTTAGCTCAAGGTGGAAATTTGGTAGTGTCAGCATCTTCAGCAAATAAGCTAATGAGCTTCTAGAGGGAGACAACAGAACAGTGAGCAGGAAGTTTCGACCTGTGGATGCCTATCTGGTTCACTGATCATGAGGGCAATCAGTTGATGACAAGGAACACAGAGGCAATTTTGTTGAGCATTCGCATTACGTCCCTCTTCAGGTTAAAACTTAAATTTTGGAATTGTTGGAGCATGTGTGCTAACTTACAGAATTAAGTATTTTTTTTTTAATCACCAGCATTTTCTTTTTTTTTTTTTTTGCTTTCCAGCATTTTATTTATAATAATACTTTGCTTTCTCTAATGTAGTTTTTAAAGT